TGGACATTTAAGGATATTTGTGGAGATTTCATAGTTTATTTTGTTCAGGTTAGGTTTCAACTGTTTTATGTATATAGCTTCAAGAATTTTTAGTTTGTGTTTATTGTTTTCATGTTTAAGTATAATTGTGTTTTTGACAAGGCATGTATTATATATATATATATATATATATATATATATATATATATATATGTGTGTGTGTGTGTGTGTGTGTGTGTGTGTAAAGGGATAGGTTGGTTAATAAAACAAGAGCAAACAAAAATGGTACCAATACAATCAGTACGAAAAACTTTTATTAAATATTAATTATTAAACAATTAATTATTTAATAAATGTTTTTCGTATTGATTATATCGGCACCCTTTCGTTTACACTTGCTTTATTAACCAATCTATTTTACATACTATAAGAAATACAGGTGTAATCTTTATTCTTTACTTCCCAGATTTGAAATGTTGTTTTGAACTCATCCTGATTATTGATCCTCTTGACACTTTCGTGTTCATAGAAATTATCTTAACGTTCGCAGTTATTACATTTTAATTATTAAGAAAAAAACTTATGGATATCCAACAAAGAAGCGATAAAGAGTGAATATAATTAACTGAAGCCTCCATGAAGTGTGGAAGCGAAAAGAGAGAAGAAAAAGCAAAGTTTTTTTGCAGAAAATGTTCACTAAACTTTTGAATCGAAAAAGCAGAACTAAATAAACTTTAAGGTATGTTTAAAAGAAACATTCTTCAGCTTTTGAGTAATAATTATTGTAAATGACAGAATTATAGTTAATTAAATTTATATATGAGATGAGATCCAAGGGCAGTAATTCATTATTTTTATAACACGTGAGGAGCAAAACATTTTATTATTCAAAAAAATACGGACATGGTAAAATGTGCGTGATATACATAAAAACAAAATAGACAACCAACAGGCAAGAGGGTAAAATAAAGTCACCATCAAGAGGGGAAGCGAAACGTGAAGAAAAAAAAAGCATTGATACACGTCGGTACTCAAGAGGCTCTGAAGTTTGAGGATCAAAATTTGTTATTTCGTTTTTTTTATATATATATATATATATATATATATATATATATATATATATATATATATATATATATATATATATACAATCGTTCTTTTTTTCTCCTTTCGCTTTCACACCTCATGGTGACTTTATTTTTTTATCCCCTCATGGTGACTTTATTTTTATCTTCCCCTGTTTTGTACGTTGATTTTTTTATATGTTTGTCTTTGTAGGATAATTTCTTATTTGTAGCTCTAAGCCGAAAGTATTAGACATCTAGTGAGGATCTTAACCACTATTCAGTCGGAATTAATCTAGTGAAACAATCGTGCTAACAATTACACCACGTCGAAATGCCCTAAATGATTTTCTTAGCATAGCTTAGATGTTATACAAGGCCGAAATGAGAAGTACTCAATTGTAATTGATCAACAAGCTTGTTAACCATTACACCAGACCGAAGCCTCTAAGTTTGTCTTTTATAAATGTTACACATATTTTAAAGCGTTTTTCAGGAATAATATAATGTTGTGTTTTTCACAGGCTGTACATTTATAATTATCAAATCTACATTATACAACATATTATTTCTAACGATTGTTTTTCTTTCTCACTCTTATGTACAGGGTGCGATGGGTAAATCAACGCCATATTATATTTTTAATTTAGCGCATGCGCCTTGTTTCTTTTTGATTTTGTTGACCGCACAATAGAGAGCAGTGAAATTTTCCTCAAAGCTGCATGGTTTGTTCCTTATGCATATCTAAGATGTCGTGCCAAATTTGAAGCTGATCGATCAAGGTTTAGTCTACAACATTTGTAACTGAAATTTAAAAATTTATTTATGCAGTGTTGGTACAGAGTAATGTACATTGTACAAATGTACAATGTTTATATTCAGTTTTGCTCATTCACTGTTTCTCTTTTCTTATCAGATTAACTGATCAACTTGCTATTAAGATGGCTACTCTATTAACGAGAGCGGCCATTGTTTATGTATGTTTTGGCTGCAGATGTTCTTCTAGTGGACAAACTTCGAAAGACAAGATGTTCAGGATCTGCTGGTGATGTAAATGTAATGAAAGAAAGTTTACAGGTGCCTGAAAGATTATCAGGATGACCGCCAAAGTATTCTTTAGAAATATGTGGAAAAATCAATTGGAGATAGACCGACTGTTTCTCTTCTTAGCCAGACAACTGTTGTGGAAAGGTTTAAAAAATTGTAGAGTAGAACAATTGAATTCAATAAGATCAAGAATGTGGACAAAAACGTTGCCTTTCAAGAAGAAATAAAGGAGTTGTTTGATATCTGTAGATGTTAATGTCTTCCTGTCCCCTGTCAAGATGTGAAGGGCAAAGTTAAGAAGTATGGTGGATATCATCTGGCCGGTAATAAAATTTCCCAAAACGTGAGATGCAGTTCCTCTTTGACCAGCGAGATGATAGGAAGATGAAAATTTCAGAGATTGATATGAAAGTGACGATGATATTGGACAGAGTGATGCTAAGAGAGAAGCATAAGGCGGACAGATCCAGCAAACAGCTTGATTAAATACATAGAGATATAGTAGCTGGTTATATTCGTTATGTTAAGGATAATTCGGACGATTAAAGAGATATCTTTCCTGCCAATGCTGATGCTGATTCTGTCCCCGATCCAAAAGCTCTGATAGACATTAGCTCATTGAACTAGACAAGACATCCCACACTGGTCGCCGCCTGTGACCAATACTGGATGATTATGCTGTAGTCGCCTTAACTGACTATGACGTTATCACAAAGGATCAAAAGAGTCAAGTTATTGAACCACATAAGCTCCGAGAGGCGAGGCGAAAATATCGATTGAAGAAGCAAGAAATTTAGATGGTTAGTTTAGAAAAATATGACGTTACTCTATTTTGACGGTAAGAAGACCGCCACTTGTGTGATGAAAAAGAATGAGAAGACCAATAAATGGAGTTCGAGGATAATAGTGCAGGATCATTATGTCGTCATAGTTGATCCTGGCAATGAATATCTCACACATGTGACTCCCAAGCCTGAACGCGGAAAGCAGATTGCCAAAACGGGTTTCTGGTGGAGAAAAATTTAACCCAGTAGCCCATTGTATGTGTTAGAAGTGAAGGAAAGCAATGCAAATGTAGGATCAAAAATGGAGCCATTCGCCATCTTGAAATGTTACTTGGTCACCCTCTCCATTATTTCATCTGTAAACTTAAAAAAATGAGCTGTCTTTCCGCGCAATTTTCTATCACTATGATTGTAATGCTTCTGAGCATTGGCGTTATTCCATTGAAAAGCATATCAAGGAACCTTTGTCTGAGCTGCCAATTGTTGACTTCCAACCAATCGGTTTTACTGATTTCCCTGTCCTAAATGAAGAAGTGGAAATCTGGAATCAGAAATACATGTATAAGATTTGTAAATGGGTTATTACAGGTGTTTTTGTCGATGATTGGCTACTACTGAGTGAGATCCTACTTGCATGTTAAGGTGGAATACTTTATCGAGTAGAATCCTCAGGCTGTATGTAGCAACATCAAGACCGAGCCAGGACCTGAAAAGAATCGTCATTACAATTATAAAGTTCAGTGCTCCAATGTGGTTCTATATCAAAATGCACCCTTATGTAACACACAGCTCAAGAAACATTATATCAGGTCATCCCATAAGTTCTGTACGAATTTTGAATAAAGAAAACAAGTGACCAAATCTTACATTTGATTACAGATTTTCCCTGATTATCTATGACTTCCTTCCATCTATTAACAAGCTTACTAATTCTATTACTGTAAAATTCTTTTGACTTTGATTCGAAGAACTCACAATGTCAGTTTTAACCTCTTCCTGTGTTACAAAAGCTGTTTCTTCCAAATGATTCTGTAATCTACGAAACAAATTGTAGTCTGAAGGAGCAAGATCAAGAGAATAAGGTGGATGAGGAATTTTCTACCAAGTTCTTCGATCTTTTGTGACGTGATTTTTGCTGTGTGGGGTCGCGCATTGTCCTGATAAAACATCACCTCTTTTCGATTCACTAGAGCAGGTCTTTTTTTCCTCGAAGCTGGGTTCAAACGCTCTAATTGCTCATAATATATTTGAGCATTAATTGTTGCATTAGGTGGTAAGAATTCAAAGTGGATTATTCCTTGGCGATCCCACCAGACTGAAAGAAGAAACTTTTGCCCATGAAGTTGGCGAGAATAGAGAGAAGAGCAGATGTCAACTCAGGATTTGAAGTTGTTTTCAGACAATTCATGAGGCTCCCATTTTCCAAGTTTAGGAACTTTTCCAAGTTGTTGAAGATGGCGATGAACAGTTGAATGGTTTCAAATGAGAACCGCTGCCAATTCCTCAACTGATAAAGCAGGATTTTCTTCAAGGGCTGCTTCAAGAAGCTTTTCATCAAACACAACTGGACGTCAGGTTCGATCTTCCTCTTCAAGGGTGAAATCTCCACCTCTGAATTTTACAAACCATCTTCTGCAAGTTCTTTCATTCACACATTCCTCTCCATAAACTGAGTGAATGTTTCTAGCTGCTTCGGCTGCTGAGTCTCCTTTCTTGCTCATAAAGCATTATGTGCCTCAAATGATTCTTGGGTACTTCCATGTTAGCAGGGTTTTAATCAAACAAAATTTGATTTTATTGTTCTCTGAAATAAAATTTCATCCATTTAAATGCATCTAAACATAAAAAATAATGTTCAGCTCCATTAGACATTATAAAATACTCTTTAAATTTCGTTCATTTTAACAAAAAGTTAAAATTCGGACAGAACTTATAGGATGACTTGATATATATTATATATATGAATATCTTGAAAAGTGAGAAGTCGGCAGTGAAGCAGACTGTCTAGTGAAATGCATAATTCGCCCACACAGATAAACTTCTTTTTGGTATGTGTGCAGATGAGAACGTGACTGTTACAGAAAAAGCTGTCTTATTTATAAGAAAATTTAGAGAGGAGAATCAGATGGAAGAAAGCGCTGACAGATCTGATGAGGAGGAAGAAGATTATGCTGCTGCTGTTGACGAGGATTTGTTAAATTACACTGATGATGATGAGGACAATCAAAATGGATATGCGCATGAGGATGTAGTTCCCGTAGACAACATGGTAAAATTGGTGACTCTCAAGTGTCCAGAAAAATATCATTTCATGATTAACTGGATATATGGACTTAAGACTAAAACTGCTTACATTGCTTCTCTATCAAATCAACAGCTTAATGACATTCTTCAGATATCATTAGTTGTGCCCAAGTGACCAAACAGTACTCGAAAAAAAGTACAGGTGGTCGAAAAAGGGATAAAAGTAATGACTGATGGTTGCACTGAAGTGAAGGGATACAAAGTGAGAAATGGATATATTAGACAATGTTTAGGAAAATGATGTCCAGGTTCCGAACAAAAATGATTTCACTATTAACTCATAATATTTTAATATGACGTAACTCTTAAATAATTGTTATGGTGAAACACACCTATTCTATATTTAATGGACTCACCCACCTAATATAAGTAGGAGTAGTAATAGAAACGACGGTCAGTCGATGTCGGACGACCGGCTTAACGGTTGATCTCTGCCTTCTCGGCCCAGAACCCGTTTACGGGTTCAAATAGGAACCCGAACGACGCTACGCCGAAGGGCGGAGTCTCGTTATAGGAAGGTAACCGGACCCTGAACCCGTTTATACGGATTCAAAGGGTATATTTTTGGCCGGGCTCACGGGCTCGGATATCCCACGTTAAACCGGCTTTGTGCCACATGATACCCTTGTGGGGGGTGAATAAATACTAATCGATGTGGGACGACCGGCTGAACAGTTGAACTCTCTGCCTTCGGGCGGGGAGGAACCTGAACGAGGCTACGCCGAAGGGCGGAGTCTCGTTCGGGGAGGTAAACCGACCCTGAACCCGTTTATACGGATTCAAAGGGTATATTTTTGGCCGAGCCCACGAGCTCGGAGATCCCACGTTAAACCGGCCTTGTGCCAGATGATACCCTCGTGGGGGGTGACTAAATACCAGTCGATGTCGGACGAGTTATTCGAATACGAAAGTATTAGCGACCACAACAAGATTACTCTGCGTAATACCTATTATATCAAGTTCCTAACGTTTTGTACGTCGAACCTATTTTAGGACCGACTTAGTACAAATACAAGCCTCCATTGCGAAATCACTCCACAACAATAATATAGGAATTAAATTGATGTCACCGATGTACAATTTATTATTGTCCTGGCAAACAATAAATATCACCTATACACTAAATACACTAAAACTAATATACACTACAAATACACTAAATTACACAAAATGTTGACAAGTCGTTCGCGATGCTGCAGGAAAGTGGGGATGAAATGGGCTGAAATTTCTCACAGGTGTGTGTTACATTCATACAGGCAATGGTTGATTAGTGCAGCTTGCAAATCAAAAATCTGTTTTTTCACTACTCCTTACTGCACAGTATAGTGGGGTCAGTTGGGCACCGTCTGTTAGAGAAAGAGTACAATAGCGCAATTCACTCCAGAAATTTGGAATCGGCATGCTGTACAGCTTGGCATTCGTGTCGGAAGCTCCAATACGAATTTTTCAGTGTGTTCAACGCGAATGCCAAGTAGTACAGCATGAAGACAGTGCAGAGGATACGGAAACAGTTGGCTGAGTCTAATGGTGATGACGAAGTTACGGCAGCTCGAAAAATTCACTCTGATCATTCTGAAGAAAAGAACTCCAGAATTTGTTTTATCACAGAACTTCCGAAACTGATTTTCATGTGAGAGACTGAAGAAGGGAATCTTTTCTCTGTAGTGTCAAAGAAAGTCAACATTGTTATCTCTCTATCCACAAATTTGTGAACACTAATAAAAAAAAAACACAGATTAAAGAATTGGGCATTCATGGCCATACATTAGAAGATTCATAGTGCATTTAACAGAGCGTGCTGTCAAGTCGACAAGTTCAGTGGAATAGAATGAAAATAATTTGTCGAATCCATTTCGGTATTGTTGACTTTCAAATGGCTGCAATAGATTTAGTGAACAATTTGTCGTTGCTATTGTGGGTTCTTTTATAAATTGATACGTTGTAATGTGCATCAATCATTTCAAAGCTTTCTATTGTTCAACTAGAAGTGAAGGAAGATTGGTCGCTTTTTTTCTTGCATTGCGACTCATAAAATTTCATCTGCATGATATATTTCGATTTGTGGATGTGGAGGGAGAGCGAAGGAGATACAGAGAAAAACATAAATATATAAAAGTTATATATATATATATATATATATATATATATATATATGCAGCTATACTCTATATCAACGCAGAGAGAAATGTATATATTTGATAATATATGCACACACAATCTTACATATGTGTGTGCCTGTATGTCTTTTATCACTTAAAACGTTACTTCAATGGATATCCGTGTTTGAAATAAACACCACTTTTTCTCTGATGGTCTATTAATTCTATTGGTCTTCGCACTCGCAGAAAAATTGAAGAAAATGTAAAGGCCGTTATACGCAATGCAGCCTGTTTAAAAGAAAAATACGAGAGGTCTATTTCAAAAACGTGTATCAATCAAAAATAAAAAATGTCGAAATAACAATAGATATATATATTTACATTATTCGGATTGTTGTTCTTATCTTGACATATTCACGATGTTTTGACCGTTGTACGCACCGGCCTTCTCCAGGGGATTGGAATTTCGAACATAACCTTTATTTCCTCCACCAAGAGTATATTTTTATAGTTCCACATGGCATGTGTCTCTTGGATGTCTCAGTTATTTTCCTTTAACTCAACTCTCCAAGATTTTGTCAATCAGGTATCGAACTCAAAATTCTTTGGGCCAAGTCACTGTATCTAACCAACTCATTATACACTGGGACAGGTGTCTTTGAGGACATCAGTATATAAATAATAAAATTAATGACTCAGTATTTTTTTTTTTTTTACCAGAGCTCATATTGCAATTTTGTTGTTATTATTACCTTTCTCTAGAAATGTCTATTACTGGTTTCCCATATTGTATTCATTTCTATGCTTGGCCGGCTTAGGAGATTTTCGTGTTCTAACACATGTGCTGATTCTATAAGTTTTCGTATTTTCCAGTGATGTTCTTCTTTTATTATTTCAACCTCATCCCACAGGTGGCGGTGATCTCCCTTTTCCATCTGCTGCCATGTACTCAGGGTAGTTGTTACGTTCGATATTGGTGCCAGCTTCTGCTGGGAATTTTCTAATTGTCTCCATATTTTTGTATATCTGTTAATTCCTTTTTCGCCTGCATTTTAAATTCAAATTTAACGCTTCTTCCCGCCGTTCTTCCGAGCATTTCTCCTCTTACATTCCCTATGCTAATTTATAAATTACCTACACTGGATTGTCAAAGCATTTTTTCTCAAATTTTAAATTGAGCTCATCTATCTTGTTATATATATATATATATATATATATATATATATATATATATATATATATATCTAGGGTTTATAAAACTCTTACTGCAATATATATATATATATATATATATATATATATATATATTAACTATACTTTTAAAACTCTTACTGCAATATATATATATATATATATTAACTATACTTTTTAAAACTCTTACTGCTATATATAGATATAGATATATATAAGTAGTGTTTATAAAACTTTTTACTGCTATATATATATATATATATAACTAGTCATTATAAAACTCTTACTGCTATGCATATATATATATATATATATATATATATATATATATATAACACTAAAAGTTTTATAAAGTCTAGTTATATATATATATATATATATATATATATATATATATATATATATATATTTAACTAGTTTTATAAAATATATATGCTATATATATATATATATATATATATATATATATATATATATATATATATAATTAACTAGTTTTTAAAACTCTTACTGCTATATATATATGTATTTGACTACTCTTCCTAAAAAATCTCACTATATATATATATATATATATATATATATATATATATATATATATTTAACTAGTCTGTATAAAACTCACACTGTTATCTATCTATCTATCTATCTATATATATATATATATATATATATATATATATATATATATATGTATAGACTTTATAAAACTCTACTATTTTAATGGTATAATTATTTTCCAACATTATAGCACTGTTTATTTTCCAAAATCTTTCTTTCTTTGGATTTTATGCGTCCTGGCAAAGAATATATTTTTTGTCTTGATATTTCTTTCTTTCTTTTCTATTCTCTTTATATTTATCTTATTCTTTTTATATCTATCAGTCGTAATCTCTTTATATCTATCTGTCCTATCAATCAATCAATCAAATCAATCTATCTATCTATCTATCTATCTATCTATCTATCTATCTATCTATCTATCTATCTATTTTATATACTCTTCTCTTTGTATCTATTTATCCTATTCTCTTTATATATCTCCATATCAAAATGCATCTCCAAACAAGTACTTTGCCCCAAAAATGTTATGCTGTGGTTTTGGTGGAATAAGAATAGTCATATGTCATGAAATATTAAATAACTATCAAGGTCAACTGCAAGCATTGCAAAAAGGAAAAACTTCACGGCCTGTTTCTCTCCTCCAATAATACAAGACTACATATTACCCTTGTCCCCCAGTAAAAGTTTACTGCAATAAATATGTGAGCTTTACCTTATTCACCTTTTTTTCTCCAGACCTTCCTAATTCTGTTAAACTTTCCTAAGCTTATTCAACAATTTCAACAATATTATTCATCGACCGGTTTATCGATTGCATTAGACTGCGAAACTTATAGCGGTTTGATGTACCTATGTCAAATATCTACAAATTGCATTATATCTCCTAATGTATTCGTGGATTACTTCTTTATCTATTAAATATAATGTATATAAATTAAGTTCTATTTGATAATAATATATATTTGAAGTAATTAGTCTATTAATTTAAAACAAATAACTTATTTTATACAAGAGAAAAGGCTTTTAATTATCGTGCTTCTGTTCGTACTATTTGATAACGTATTTTCTAATTATTCTCCTAAAATCCTGTCAGTAAAAATACTATAAATATTAAAGGAAATTAATAAATGCTACATTTATTAGGTTGGTTTCGTATCTTGATATAGTCATTAGAAATTCTTTTCTCGGTGCATGGTGGCACCAAGACAGTTCACACATCAATAACCTCTGACAGTTTTCTGGATGTCCACAATCTTTGTTTCAGTTATAATTCTTTCTAAGCAATCTTTTAGTTTTCTAGGCGGTGTTCCAAGTACACCATTTTTACAGAAATTTCTTCAGCAATCATAGTTTCTTCAGTTCCCTAACCACTACTTGGTATTTTTTTCTATTTTTCTGTTTATGGTGGAGTAATGGATAGCGGCTCAGATTGAGGAATCGGAGAGCCGAGTTCGAATTACATTCGAATCCATTACATTTACTTACCTGCTAATATCCTTGCGAAAGGTATGAATCCTCTTCTTCTCCCCACCAGCTATGGGTAAATAGCAGGACAGACTAGGTTCTATAGCCTTGGATGGCAACTGGTCTACCGCAGAAATAAATAGCAACCTACTGCGGGAAAAAAATCTTCCTCGTGAGTCAAGTATCGAAAGATACATGATCCCCTAAGCCTGTGTCACGCATGATACATAACCGTCTATTGTATCATATAGAAGAACAAAGTCAATAATTTGACACTTTTTATTTACCTTGTCTGTAATAAGGTCGGGTCTTCGTGCTGAAATGACATGACATTCATAGTCTAAGAAAACCTCAAACTGTATGACAATTTTTACCTCTGCTTTTGGCTATTGTCTATACATCTTCTTCTTCTTCTTCTTCTTCTTCTTCTTCTTCTTCTTCTTATCATTATTATTATTATTATTTTCATCACTATATTTAGATTACTGCTATGGTCACACTACCCAACATTGCTCCCGTAAGACCTAAGGCAGGTAGCCGTGTGTTGTTATGGCTACATTTCATGATTTCTTTTTATAACTCCCATACCATCACTAGCGTTACGCTCTAAGCTCTGCTTAGTGTGTGGGCGGTAATTACCAATACAATTTTTTTTTTGATTTCTCTTAAAATGGGATTTCCAGGGATTCAGATACCTTGGTTGCTACAGTCCGCTGGACAAGCCATATCAGTTAGTAGGCAATTTGCTTCAATCTTGCTGTCTGTAAAGATGATGTAATCCCACAAAATTGTGATGTCTTCTATTTCTGTAACTGATGCTAGGTGATGTTCATGCCAACATCTTTTCCAAAAAGTTTGCACATTGAACAGTGCGAATATTACGCCATTTTATCGTGATGATTTTTATATTCACTTCCAGCAAGTACAGAACACCCTGAGATTAGGTGGTCTATTGTTTACTGATATTTTTCAGAGCCTGTATTTTGGATCCACACTATTATGTATGATATTTGCCTGAAAGTTCCAAGTGAAAACACTCTGGACTTGTTCTGCAAGAATAAAGCTTTTCATTTCAACCTTTAATCCACGTTGACTGCTGGCCTGAGATGGAATAAATACATTGAGTCAATTGCTTCGTCCACCGCAAGGAAAGTTGGCGCCCTGAGCCGCCCCAGGAAGTTTTTCTCCCCGGAGTCGATCCTCCAGATCTACAAATCCACAATTCGCCCTTGCATGGAGTATTGCTGCCATATATGATCTGGTGCCCCTTCTGTTTGCCTCGGGGTTCTTGATAGGCTCCAGAGGCGGATATGCAATGTAGTTGGCCCTGCTCTGGCGTCTCCTCTACAGTCACTTTCTCACAGACGCGCCGTCGCCTCCCTCTGTCTGTTCTACAAATACTTTCATGGAAATTGCTCCGAGGAGCTGCATTCGCTGGTTCCCAGACGTCATGAGTTCAAGCGCCCTACGAGGCTGGCATCCCGCTCTCACCCCTTCACTGTCCAAACTCCTAAATGTAGCCGTCTCTTCTACTCCAATAGCTTCATGTCTCGCACCTCTCGCCTGTGGAACTCCCCTCCCTATTCCTGCTTCCCTGTGAGCTATAATCTCCAGCTATTCAAGTGTAATGTCAATCGACATCTCTAGTTGCCTTGATCTATCCACTACCCTCATCCTTTCTTCTATTACTCCTATCTGATCTTGCTCTAAATTTTCTGTAACCCCTTGCGTCCTAGTGGCTTCCCGCCTTGCTTGGGGTGAAATGCTTAAAAAAAAAACATACTCATAACCATCGATAAGTGTTAACTTTATCAACAACAGCGTTATAAGCACATTCTGGGTATTGGCCATAGAGAGGTTTGTCTTGCCATAGTTTTTTCATCTGTTCAAGAGCTTTATCCTTGGCTTTCTTTTTCATACACTTGGTTCTTGGGTTTTGTTTTAGTTTTTTACAGAATATACTAAATGTAAACCACGTTTGCATTTACAACCTTCTTTCATGATTGAATGTTATTCTTTTTGTTTTCTTGTTGTTTGACTAATTCTCTCGTCCAGTCCTTTGTTGTTTCCATATATGTTAGTAAAACAATAGTTGTCTTTTATGACAATTCTAGCTGAGTAAGAGCTATTCCACCTTCTTTACAGAATATGTATAGAAGGTCTGTATGATCATTTCGATGATGAATATTATGCTTAGAAAGAAGTTGTTTTTGTCTTAGAATCTATTCGTCTGATGTTATTTAGAGTCCAGTTTAAGATAGCGAACCTATATTAAATAACTGGGATGGCAAGGCTATTAACGGCCATAATTCTGTTATGAGCATTCAATTCAATTTTTAATATTCATTCGCACCCTTCTATAGTACTCTTTTCGCACTAATTCTCTCAGTTTTATGGTACATTCCTTCACCCTCATTTACATCGAGGTACCCATAAACTTCCTCTTGCTCTAAATCTTTAATTGTTAGCCCAGGCTCTAAGCTAATAGTGGAAGTTTGTTGGAATGATCCTCGTAAAATTGTGGCTTTAGCACATTTATCCAAACCGAATTCCATTACAATGTCATCAGTGAAACATTTGACTGTATTCAGGAGACTTCCCAACTCATTATCTTTCCTAGTATACAAGTTTAAGTCATCCATGTAAAATAGATGAGTTATTTTCTTTTGATTCCTTCCTGTTAAGTTTGCTGGTTAATGTTATCAGGGATATACAAAATAGTAAGAGAAATAAAGAGTCTCCTTGAAATATTCCTTTTTTAATGTTTATTTCACCAGACATAGATTCCATTTATATGATTTATATGAAGTGTCGTTTTCCATATTGGCATAGGGTGATGCCTTGCATATATTTAAAACCTTTACGATCCAGAAATGCGTTACACTATCGAATACCTTACGGTAATCTTTTCAGACCGTATTGAATTTTTTCTTTGTATTGAAGCAAATCTTCGAAGATTATCCTATTAATAAGTATTTGGTCTTTACATCTGTAAGAGTCACGTTTACACATTTTTGTTCAAGAATTTGTATGTCGTTTTTTTCTAAGAGTGAATATGTCTATTTTGTCAGAACAGATGGCAACAGTAAGTACTGGGAAGGCATGCAATTGATCTGTAGCTTTCTGAGACATTTTTGCCGCCATTCTTTGGTAGAAGGAAGGTCGTTCATGTGGCTACCCATGCAGGAATTTTATTAGGATCATTGAACATTTCTTGAAGTTCTTTGGCTAATTTTTGTGTTCTGTATTTAGACAATAGAGTCAAAAGTTTGGAATCTTATCTCTTCCTCGAGATTTCTATTTGTGTTTATTTTTCAGTAGATATTCAGCATCCTTCTCTGTGATTTCTGTCCATATTTGTTCTGGTTCATTTTTCATCCGTTCTACTATTTCCTTAATCCAATCTACTTGTTTGTTACTTCCTTTAGGGCACGACCATATTTTCCCCAGAATTGTATACCTCTTCTATTGTGTGTGTGTCGCTCGTGGGAGTCACTTCAGTATTGTTTGTCTATTTTTCTGTAAAATTTCTTCGCATCGGTTTGAAAGATCTTGTTCTCTCTGTAGAATATTGATCATTTTTCATAGCGTCTGATTCTTTGAGCCTTCAGATGTATTGTTCGCTTTATTTTTTCTTTAGTTGATAGAACTTCATTTTCATTCCTAATTTTTTATTTTCTTTTGATTCTTCTGTCTTTCATAGTCCTTACTTTTGTTCTTCTTGTCACTTCATCAAGTACTGATAATTAATTTGTAAATATTTTCATTTCTTTCTCTATTTTTCTTTTCCCAGGTGAATTCTCATGTTTGTGAGTCCGACTTTTTTACTTTGATTTTTTAATTTTTTAGTGTCTGCTATTGGTGATGCATATTTTGCTTCATTGACACTTATATGTGGGTTTACTTCTCACAGAATTAATTTGAGTGACGCATTGTAGAGTTAAATGGTTATGAGGTTATGCTCTGTTGCTGGTAATTTTAAC